ATTTTCTTTGCTTTCTTTTATTCTATAGGTTTTTTTAAAAAAAATTAACCTTTTAAATTTAAATAGATTTAGGGGGTACAAGTGGTTTTTTTGTTATGTGGCTGAATTGCACTGTGGAAAAGTCTAGACTTTTAATATACCCATCACATGAATAGTGTACATTGTACTCATTAGGCAATTTTTCATCCTACACCCCCCGCCCCCAGTCTCCCCCTTCTGAGTCTCCAGTGTCCATTAAATCACTCTGTATGGCCATGCATACCCATTGCTTAGCTCCCGCTTTGTAAGTGAGACAATGCAGTATTTGGTTTTTTGTTCCTGGGTTACTTCGCTTAGGATAATGGCCTCCAATTCCATCCAAGTTATTGCAAAAGACATGATTTCATTCTTTTTGATGGCTGAGTAGTGTGTGTGTGTGTGTGTGTGTGTGTGTGTGTGTGTGTTAATATATGTATATGTGCACCACATTTTCTTTATCCACTCATCTGTTGGTGGGCACTTAGGTTAGTTCCATATCTTTGCAATTGTGAACTGTGCTGCAATAAACACATAGGTACAGGTGTCTTTTTTATAAAATGACTTCTTCTACTTTGGGAAGGTCCCTAGTAGCAGGATTGCTGGATTGAATGGTAGGTCTACTTTTAGTTCTTTGAAGAACCTCCATACTGTTTTCCATAGAGGTTGTACTAGTTTACATTCCCATCAGTAGTGTATAAGTGTTCCCTTTTTACCACATCTAACAAGATCTGTTGTTTTTTGACTTTTTATTGATGGCCATTCTGACAGGGGCAAAGTGGTATCTCATTGTGGTTTTAATTTGCATTTCCCTAATAATTAGAGATGTTGAGCGTTTTTTTCCTGTATTTGTTGGCCATTTGTATATTTTCTTTTGAAAAATGTTCATGTGTTTTGCCCATTTTTTTAATGGGGTTATTTGTTTTCTTCTTGCTAATTTGAGTTCCTTATAGATTCTGGATATTAGGCCTTTCTGGATATTAGGAGTTTGTCAGATATATAGCTTGCGAATATTTTCTTTAGTTCTGTAGGTTGTCCATTTACTGTCTTGATTATATCTTTTGCTGTGCAGAAGCTTTTTAGTTTTTAAGTCTCATTTATTTAATACAATGTTTTGCTATATTTGCTTTTGAAGTGTTAGTCATAAATTCTTTACCTAGGCTAATGTCGAGGATAGTTTTTCCTAGGTTTTCTTCTAATATTTTTATGGCTTCAGATCTTACATTTAAGTCTGTAATCCATCTTGACTTAATTTTTGTATATGTGAGAGATAGGGATCCAGTTTCATTCTTCTGCATGAGGCTATCCAATTTTCTCAGCACCATTTCTTGAATAGGATGTCTTTTTCCCAGTTTATGCTTTTGTCTGCTTTGCTGAAGATGAGTTGTTTGTAGGTATTTGGCTTTATTTCTGAGTCCTCTATTCTGTTCATTGGTCTGTGTGTCTACTTTTATACCAGTACCATGCTGTTTTGGTTACTATTGGCTTTTAGTATAATTTGAAGTCAAGTGATGTAATGCCTCCAGATTCTTTGTGCTTAGGATAGCTTTGGGTATTTGTGCTCTTTTTTGATTTCATATGAATTTGAGGCTTTTTTCTCATTCTCTGAAAAATGATGTTGGTGTTTTAATAGGAATTACACTGAATCTGTAGACTACTTTTGACAACATTGATTCTTCTGATCCGTGCCTGCGGTTCCCTGGTATATAGGCCTTCAGAATGGTGCCTGGCTCAAGCTGCTCTAGGCTTGGATGTCTATGGGATTCCACTTGAGTTCCCTTTCTGTAACACTATCTCTGTGCAATCTCCAACAGCTCCCTATGTTAGTCTTGAGGCCTGTATGGGTCAGGGGATTTTCTTGTAGCCAAGATCCCTTGTCTCGGAGAGTGGAGCCCTGGGGGCTTCTCTCTTACTGTTTGACTGCATCCAGGAGCTTCTCCTGGGTGTTAGCTGTCTCCTGGCTGGGCAAGTTGCCCTGAACCCCCTGCTGAGTCACTTTTGATGCTTCCTGTTGCTTCCCTGGTATATCCTAGTGTTTTCTCCTAGACGATCTGTTCAAAAGGTGAGAATCTGCTTACTATTCTGGCTTCTCTCTGTGGAGGAAGCACATACTATCTATGTGTAGGCAACCATCTTGATCTTTTCTATAGTTATTTTAAGAATGAAGGATTTTAAGGAAATGGAACCATCAGTCTTAAATATTTATTCTACTTCAGAAGTTATTTCCTTTTTGCCATTTTATTATAACAGGCTTTACTTTAATGAATAATTATTTCCTTTTGAATTAATATGGGTTAGTTGTGAATAATAATAATATTGAACAATAATTGAATAATAATATGAACAAAAATAACAATTATGTAGTATTTAAGGGAAAGGAAAAAAATCAAAATAGGCCGGACGCGGTGGCTCACGCCTGTAATCCTAGCACTCTGGGAGGCCAA